TGTGGCCTGCCAGACACGCCCATTTTCCTATAGTCCAATCAGATGTGGCCCCCCGGATACACCTTCCGAATTTGTCTGCAGAGATACCTACTTGGAGAGGGTGGAGAACTCCTGGATTAAGCTAGTCCAAAATATATCAGTCAAGAACTAACTGTCTTCGTTTCTGATAACACAACTTTGTATAATTTAATGTTTGTGCAAACTTTTAGTATTATAACAAAAAAGGCTAAATCATGTCATTTGATAACTTAAGACTTTTTTGTTGTTATCCACCTGGATAATTGATCTTACAACTCTTCTAATAGTATTAGAATTATTCTGATCTAATTATTTCATGAGGATCTGAGCCTGATAATTATTTAAAATAATTATTAAAACGTTGTTAACTTCATAAATTAGGATAAAATTATGACATCTTGTCACATAAATGAAAAGCAGCAGTTTTTAATATCTTAAAGTTCGAGGAGAGAAATCCTCACCATGCTAATGTGTTCCCATTCACTGACTCTTGTTGTTTTAGGTTCTGGTTCTGGTTCCTCCTGAGTCTGAGCCTCTGACTTGTCCTCTTCCTCCGGATTCTCGAGAACCTCGGTTGATTTTGTATCCGACTCATTTTTTATCAACCCATCTTCGTCGGCTCCTTCTGAAAATCTCTTTTCTCCGCTCTTATCTGAAGCATCTTCTCCACGCTGCTCTTTATTTTCTTCGTCTGAGACCTCGATAAAACTCTCTAAGAAAAGCGGCACACGAACACATTTGAAAACTTAAGAGCTGAATGTGGTTTGATGCTAAACATTTGATTTCTTTTACCTTCAGAGGCGCTGTCCTCTCCATTCTCTGACTTCACCTCATCTCCATTCGTCTCCTCCTGACCTCCAATATTCTCCTTCTCCTCTGAGTTTCCAGGATGAGTGTCGGCTCCTGTGCTCTCAGGTTTTGACGGAGGACTGATAGTTAGTGTGTTCTGATTGGACTCATCCCCCGGTGGTTCAAATTCTGTCTTCCTTAGTTCCTCAAGTTCCTCTGTTTCTCCTGTTTGTTCCTCGTCTGACCCCGTCTCTGTTTGTTGGAGTGCAGCCAGTCGGAGCGCTTTATTTCTTTGTTCAATCACTTCCTCCATTTCCTCTTCTGAACTGCTATCGAGGACACTGTCTTCCATATGCGGGCTCTGGGCTGCGGCGTTTGTTTTGAAGTCCGACGTTTCTTCGGGTGACGGTTGCGTCTCTTCGTCTGAGCTGCTGATGACTATGGGACGATGAAGACTTGTCTTCGGTTTGGCAGGTAAGACGCTTGTTCCGTTGTCCTCCTCGGTTAAAGCTTGCTGGATTGCCAGGAGCGTACGTGGAGACACTCTCCCATCCTTGTTCTCCTGGTCTCCCTCCTCCTCATCGGAGCAGTCGTTCAGAGCAGCCTGGATGGCCTCAAGGGTCCGAGGCGAAGGCGGGCAATCGTCTCCCTGAGATGGTTTTGACTCAGAGGTCCCAGAGTCCTTTGAGGAAGAAGCTCGTACTTCCTCCTCTTCTTCACCGACGGGTCGCCACAAAGGTTTGGGTTTGTCTGCTGCGCTCCTGCAGCTGGACAGGGAGCTCCCAGCCCAGGGTGAAGCTGCAGGCTGGCTCTCTGAGGCATCTTTTGTCTTTTTGGAGCCTGTGGGTGCAAAATAAAGACAAACATTCAACGATAAGAGTGAAAATTTAAAGTTTAGGTCTGTTTTTTTTTCAATAAAAAGGACAAAACTCTATACTGTATCGCAAAAACCTCTATAACAACTAGGCCGGTCGTGCTAAACAATAAATCAGTTAATCGCATGGTAAATGAAAACTATCAACCTCATTTTCATTTATCAGCTTTATCGTTTCTTCGTGTCTCTTTCTACTGAAGACGCTGGATGACAAAAAGATCAACTCTGGTGCTCTTCACTGACCCCTCCCTTTCTCTTTTCTCGTTAAACCTGTTTTAACGATCCAAAATCGCGTTTTTGGATCGTTAAAAGCAGCTAAGCTGAGAAGCTAAGCTATGAGCTAAGCTAACAGGCTGACCTCGGGAAAAAAACCTCCGTCTGGTCGAAGCTCCAAAATTCACGATTGAAACCAGTGCCTTTGTCTAAAAAGTTGTTTTTCTCTGCAAAAAGAAGCCGAGAACTTATTTACAGATTTTTTTTAAAATTAAAATCTTTGTGTGAAAAATGCTTTGCTAAAGAGCTCAAACCACACCGAGCGTTCGCCATTTTGAGAACCGAAAAACAGGAAGGAGAGACAGCCCATGTCACGTCAAGGGGCCTCCCTCACATTTTTCTTAAAGAGACACGCTGCTCGCTCCCTCACTATCCATCCTTCGGCTCAAACAGTTTTATACTGCCATCCGTTGGTCAAAAAAAGTTATTATACACAAAAATGAACCAACGTTTCTTCTTCAGTTTGACAAATACTAATTATTGTCAAATTTCAAACAATATTATTGTTTATCGCAATAATTTCTGAGACAATTAATCGCCCAATAAAATTTGTTATCGTGACAGGCCTAATAACAACATAAACATTTATCTCCAGCCTTTCAGACAAAAACTAAAATGTTCTCACTGAAATTATAAACATGAAGATATTTAAGCATGATGTTTGATAGACACACTGAAAGAATTCAAACAACTCTGATGATATTCTTGTAAAGTCCAGTCCCCATAACTCTCACCTCGTAGCCGTCTCACCTTTAATAAGAATGTAGTGCGAGTTGTCCTCTGAAACCAGGCGGTTTGACTCCACGCTGTGACTCTGTTCATCTCCGTCCTCGTGGCAGAGCTGCGGTGCGCTGCCGGCGCTACGCTGGCTCATCTCTCGTTCGACGCCCTCCAGACGCTGGTTCAGCTGGTTCCTCTGCAGCAGGCCGGCCAGCTGGTACTGAGAAAAGTCTCCTGAACGCTAAGAGAAGACGAACAGAGCTCAGCTGCGAACGGAAGGTAAGAACGTAAACGAGACGTGGACGCACCTCTGGAGGTTTGTGAATCATGGTTCGGCGTCTTTTACAGAACTCTTTCATATCTTTGAGGATTTCGTGTTTCATCTCAGCAGGCAGGCTGGTGAACTCCTCTGAGTTGATGTCCACAGAGTTGGGGTCTTCATACATTTCCTCCTGACGAAAATATAAAAAAATCAGCAATGTGGCTTTGAATGGGAGTTATCAAAGAGGCATTTCATAAAGGAAAACTGAGGCTGAGTGACATCCTAACTTATGTTTCTAGCTACAAATCAAACTAAAATACAGTTTAAAGTGCTTCGTAAGAACGCTGCTTGTAAAAAAAACCCACATACAACTGTAAGAAATGTGAACAAAAGCAGTTTTATAATAACCCTGCTTTTACTGGAAAACTTACAAAAACCTCCAGTAAAATGCAAATGAGAACATTTAGTGAAATTAACAAAGTCCATGCTCAATAATCCAGGTATAAAATCCAACATTTTTCAGTCAGGTCATCTGGACAGTTTCTTTTTTTGTGCTGAAACGTTTTGCCTTCGATCCAGAAGGCTTCATCAGTCGAGGAAACGCACAACAAAACGGATTCTTCCCCCAACAGCTTACTCCAAAGTGGAACAAACCAGTTCTGCTTGTGATAAGATGGTCCCTTTGGTACGCCCCTCCTCCATTGCCGACCCTCTTCCTTGTTGACAGTCTTGTCAAACTGATTGAAAACAACAAAGTCCATGCTCAATAATCAGGGGAAGAATCAGTTTTGCTTCCTTGACTGATGAAGCCTTCTGGATCGAAGGCGAAACGTTTCAGCAAAAAAAAAAAAAAAGAAACTGTCCAGATGACCCGACTGAAAAATGTTGGATTTAGTGAAATTCTTTGTTAGGATTAAAATGACTTTATTGACTTGAGGTTTAAATAAACTCTAACATCAAAAGCTGATTTGACCTGGAGTTAAATCACAAAAGCTAAAAAAAATCAATCTTCAACATAAATCATTACGGGAGAGCTGAATGTTTTCCATCATATTAATGTGTTACCTGATACATGTGACAGCTGTCAACCATCTCCTCGTTTCCTTCTTTTTCTTCCTCTTCCTCTGAGCTGCAAGAAGAAAATATCACAATAAAAAGGATTATGGATGCAAAATCATATAATAAATGAATTAACCACAACATAAAATACATCTGACCCAATGAACCAAAGTGAAAAGGATTGTGAGAGTTATGTTTATACAAAAGACACAATAAAGTATTCAAGTCTAATCATCTAATCATTTATTTTAGAGTACAAGAAAAGAAGTTGAACTTTCCATTTTCTGTTGACAAAGAGTAACTTGTGATATTTTTAAGTAAGCCTTTCAAGCTCTGACCTGCTTCTTTCCTTGTCCTCTGCTGGTGGAAGTGCTGGCAGGACGTACATGTCGTCCACCTCATTCCTCCTGACGCTGGACAGGCTGGGCAAAGGATCCTTACTGTGGCAGGGAAACAATGTGGGATTAACAGAACTGTTAAGACTAAAACCATTTCACTATTGGTTGTTTTTAAACATTACCTTTTATCTCCAAGTGCAGCTTTGATTGCTTGTCTCTTCAAAAATGTCTTTAGGAGTTTCTCATTGGTTTGTTTGGACTCGCGGGTCAACTCCTCCTTCCTCTGCCTCCTCAGAGCCTGCACAGTTTCAGCAGATAATATGAAATAAAACTACAAGTGGGACTTACACCATCAGAACCTGTAATAAACTTACCAGGGTCTGCTTTTTCAGCAGAGGAGCATCTCCATCAAACACAAAGACGGGCCTGATTCGGAAGAAAAGCAGCTTACAGATGCGGTGGAATAGAGTGAGGAGGTGGGCGTTCTGGACACTGTTGCCATCACGGTCCCTCACTCCCTTCACTGCCTGGTTCAGCCATATGCTGATGTCTGAGAGAGTCTTGTTAAAGTTATTAAACTGGAAATAATACTATCAGTGCTGACTCAGCTGTTTTCTTAGGTCCAATCACTGAATTTGTGATTTTCCTACATGGCAGGACCATCCTTTAAAAAAAAAACTTCCTTCTTTTTTTGGCTAGTAGGCTAAGACTGATGAGGATTTAAATCTTTGCACAAGGCTCTTTTCCCTTGACGTTTGATTCAGGCAATTTGAGAACTAATTAGAGCTGATAGCTTTTACATCATATTTCTGCATTTTATTTTTAACTTTGTTTCCATAATGACAAGATTTCTTGCATTTCCTTGTTCTGATTGTTTTACATTTTTATTTGACTGAATTATAAACCACTTAAGTCAACTTCTGTTGTTTTTATGTGCTATGTAAATAAAATGACATTGAAATTATTACACAACTAAGATAACCAAGAGGAAAATACCCAGAATTCCATTTGTCATCTAGTTGTTTATTTCCCATTTGAGTTAATCGTGGTATGATTTTGAATTTTTGTTCCAACACAAGCTGCTTGATTTTACTGAAGGAGCAAGAAGACTTTTCCAATAACCTAATAACCTGTTACGTTTATGGCTTCAACCACATTTAATCTCCAAATCAACAAGTTTGGTTTGTCAGCACAAACTCTTTTAACAAACAAAATGTAGAAATTGTAATGACAATATAATTTTTTTGTAGTAAACTCAATTTTTAAAGTTGGAACAAAAAAAAAAGTTTACTAGTTATTTAATAAACAAAATAAATATTATTTTAACCACTGAAAAAGCTTCTGAACATTCACTAAACACATGCTAAAGGTTTTTATAGCAATCTCAAAAACAAACAAACAAACAAACAAAATATATAAGCCACTTTACAGTATGTGACAGAGGACATTTTTTAAATTCAGGACATTAATTAGATATATATAAAAAAAATGCTGTCACGTTAGTATTTTTAAACCAAATACACAGCCTTGACACCTATTGAAAGTTATTTTGAAGTTCTCTTAAATTAAAACATTTATTTAAAACACTTTTTTTAAAATGTTAGGATACCTAGTTAAACAAGTCAGCTGCAGTTAAATCATGTCAAAGGAAGAAACAAATAAGAAGGACATTAAGTCAACAACAATTAATGCAAAGAAAGTAAAAATAAAAAACATATTTGGTTTGGATACCAACAGCAAGAATCTTTCCTTCCAGGGTCTCAGGATTGATGGGTTTCCCTGTGCTCTCCAGCAGCCTCCACAGTCCGTGAACTCCCATTTTTTAAATAATAACAACAATTTAAAACTTCAACAAAACAAATAAAATTGTTCCGTTTGTTCGATTTAACAATGTCTGGGTACAAAACTACCGAAAAGGTAGACAGAAACAGCACAAAGAAACATGTTTTTGCATCGTTGCAACAATATTTTCATCCGTATAGAAAATATTGACAGAACAGAAAGTTCCGCGTAATAATTACGTTGACACAAACTGTTATAAATCAAATATTTACTGACCCAATAAGTAGTACGATATTTGTTAATGGTATTATAATATTATGAAATGAACAAATAAACCGATTGGGGATCAGTTTGAACTACGTGCTTGTGTTTTTTTGTTTGAAAACGGAGTCATTTGCCTTCTACGCCGCTGCTTCGTCGACATAATACATATCACGCATTACTACTGTTCTACGTTTTCAAGATTAAAGATTTTAAGTAAATATTTTTTTAGTTTGACTTCGAGAACTTATTTTTTCTCCTCAAGTAAGCAAAACACGAGTGGCGAATTTGACCGGACGTGTTACCTGAAAGGCTAAACTCAGGGTGAAAAACACCACGAAGGAGCACCAACTGTTTCCGGTGGGGGAAATAAAACTGTCGGACTCTTTACCCGGTACGTCAACTAATAATTGTTATTTAATCTACAAATGTTGACATTGACTGAGCTGTTAAATGTTATATAATAATCTCTTCATAGAGCCTTAATATTGTTGTGTGCTGGTAAACTTTCTCAATTTAATTTAAGCTTATAGCAAACGGCTAACTTGTTAGCTTATCAGCTAAATGTTATCAGCTTATTATGGCTGATCTCTGACCAGCGGCTTTCTTTCATTAAGATACAATGCTGTCCGTGTTGACAACAAACTACTGTCTTCACTGTTTTTACTGTAGGACGAGGAAACTCCGGGTTTTCATCTGAATTTCATTTTGGCCCTCCACCACCACCATGACAGCTGTTGTGAGAGGTATGTGTATCTTTTTTGACAACATGAATTTTTACATTTCTCCTCTGTTTTCAAGCCAATGATAAAATTTCTGCTTAAGTGGTCTAAAGTTACTTTCTAGTGGGTAAATACTAGGAATCAGGTATGTACTTGGTACATGTAAAGGTACCAAAACTCTACCAGGTAAGCTCTCCAGGTATGTATCTGGTATGCAACTGGTGTTTGAACTGCTACTTACTTGGTACACAGCAGGTATGTACCCGGTATGTATTGGACTGCTTTATGTGTTGCTACTAAAAAAAGCTAAAGTCAAGACTGTGATCAAAATCTAAAACATTTACAATGCCTAAAAGTAGCAAGTTAAAGTGTCAAGAACTACATTGTGCTAAAATGTGATTATCATCACAATTACTCATTAACATCTGCTGACACATTATGTACCTTTTTAAAAAGCACAAACAAATTTTTAATGGGTTCTCAGTCAACGCGATACAAGCTCAATCAGTATAAACACTAGGCCACAGACGATGACAAATATGTGTCCATCTGTATCCCAGAGTACCTTAAAGAAAGTATAAAATCATTTAAAATTATATACCCAAAATAGTCCTGAAAAACTTATCTTAACATGATTGTAATGTTTTTAGATAAACTGAACACTGACACGCGACAAAAAAACATGAAAATACAGTAATGGCTAAATGTCTGAACAAATGTAGAGTAAGTATATAAAGCTTATTTTGTATCGCACCTTTAAAAGATAAAACTCACAAAGTGCTTCACAATAATTACAATAAAAACTGTCCATAGATATAATAACAGTATATAGATTTAAGAAATAGTAAAAATGAAGTAAAACCAATACGTTAATTGGGGGAAAACAACTGAATTAAAAGCCTTCTAACTTAAAGCTTATTTGATTAAAAACAACTTCAGCTGTCTTTTTAAAAGACTAAAGTCTGTCAAAAGACTGGTTCTTTAGGCAGACATTAGTTCTGATTGAGCACAGTCAATAATTTAAAGTGTATATAATCAAACAAGCTTTTACAGAACTTGATTTTTATTTTTTCATACACTGACATTAGAGGCTACGCCTAATTTTATTTTTCATTTTAGGTTCAGCCAGTGGGCCTATACGAGTTGCTGGTGATGGCATGGAAACTGAAAAACCACCAGCTAACTTAGAGGTTAACACAGATGCTGTTTCATCTGAAGTCTCCCTCCTCAAGATAGCCAGTCCAAAGCTCAGCCTCAAATCTCCTCATGTCGCGGCCCTTGCTGCTCCGCAGCCTCTCGGTGTGCTCCACCTGGGCAAGGTGAGTCGAGAGGCCTGCACCGAGGTGGACGCGGTGAGGATCATCGTGCCGAGAGCTGCCATCACTCGGACTGGCCGGGCAGGACTCGCTGAGGGGAAAGGAGAGACAGGGCAACAGGATAAAGAGCAGGGTTCTCCTCCCCTGCCTCTTGTGGAGGACTGGAGAGGACAGCTGGAGAAACTGCAGAACTCTGAACGCAGACTCCTGCAGGACAAGGAAGGACTTTCCAATCAGCTCCGCGTGCAGACAGAAGTAGGAAGCTTGTCAGGCACTAAAGTTGCTTTTAACACCTGACTTCTTTGGTTATTTGGGCAGCATTTTTCTGAATTTACTGACATTTCTCCATTCCGTGTGGCAGGTGAATCGTGAGTTAAAGAAACTGCTGGTAGCATCTGTGGGTGATGACCTGGAGTACCAGTTTGAGCGTTCAGCACGGGAGAGAAATCAGCTCATCTTAGAGAACGAGGCTCTGGGCCGGAGTCTGGCTCACACCGTGGAACAGCTGGAGCGCATGAGTATTCAGTGCGACGTCTGGAGGAGCAAGTTTCTGGCCAGCAGGTGAGAACAGCTCCAACTGTTTATCATACACATACGGATGCTTGAAAAGGTGGAGGACATGTCAGTGAAGTCACCAGTCTAAAGGAAAACAATTAAACCTACTTTTAGGAATGAACATAATCACCATTTTGATGATTTGCATAAATGTCCTTACTTCAGAGTCATGGCAGAGGAACTGACAAATGCCAGAGCAGCTCTGCAGAGACAAACCAGAGAGGCACAAGGAGCGATTCGTGATCTGTTGTTAGAGAGAGAAGAGTTCACGCGAGACATGACGCTCACTCACAGGTAACGTGATCAACTGATTCTTCTCAACGTCTTCTAACCGATTTCAAGAGGAACAACAACACAGTTAAACTGAGCTACATAAGCCTGGTGTAAAACTGTGCTGCAGCTATTCATAATAGGAACAAGGTATTTAAAATCA